CTTTGACAGCGATTTCGCGACTACGTAAAGACTTTTGCATATCGAATGTATCGAGGTCTATCAAAGCATCTGTTTCTCAGTGAATTCGAAATGTAACAATTTCAAGTGAATCGTTTTCAAATTGGGCTCTTATGACGAATGAGAATTTTGCGTTAAATTAAATACGGACATGATCACTATTAAAGAGTCATGCATCACGGAATTGATGATGCAAGCATCTCACGTATGTTCCGCATTTGCGCATTTGCAAGCAAGCGGTGGACTTCCGCGTATGGACATCCGGACGAGCGGAACGGAACGCGGCGTTAAATGTGCGCAGTCTCGTTGCGATTTTCGTGACTAATCTCCATCCAACAGGTCGCGGTGGGCTTTAACGTCCGCGACACGTATCGAATCGGTGTTCCTCGCACGGCGAACAGCAAAATGGCCCCCGAGCCACCGCCGTGGAGTCCGAAGCTTACACGCACGCATACACGGGGACGCTCCGGGACACGCAAGCCGCCAGCGTGATGAACAAATGTACGTGTGCGTGGCAGCCGACGCACGCAACAAGCCGCTCCACGCCGCGAGGCGACGATCTAATATCCTGGCCGATACGATTCCATACGTCTTCTCGCCCCGTTGTGTGCGTGAGCGTGGGGTTTGCGGGGACAACCGCGTGTCCTATTTGCACTTGGCGTGTAAGCGTCATGAGAGAATCGCATTATTAAATTGTGTACGTGGGTAATCGCGGTTATGATTTTCAAATAATCAAAGTTTAGTATGTTGCATTCAATATAATGAAACTGTTATATTATAATAAATTGGAAAAGGAGAGAAGTAGAGAACATAATTGTAAATACAATTACCTATAGAATTGTACAATCTCAGAATTCATCTTAGAATGTAGCCCTATTCGTAGAATATAAATGCCGTTACGGAAAAATAGTCGCACGAGCAAGTTCGGAAACGCTATCTCCGATAAGCTGCATTCCATATCGGTCTATCGCTGAATGTCAACTAACGAACACTATCACTATATCCATGTATCCATTACTAAACAAATCACGATCACCGTTCGACCGTGCGCGCTTCTGTAAGCTCCGCCGCTGGGCGCTGGATAATTAAAGCTGCGAGGCACATTTGATCGAGTTTTCGGTCGCTCTCTGTCCGACAGACCGATTGTTCCCTATTTTAATTTTTTTCGGAAAATTGGAAAAGGAATTCTCCCTCGCTTTCTCGATGTTTTTTTTTACGCGCGGATATGGATGCGCCTGTGCCATGGCCGGGCGAAAATTGGAAATTGATTTCGAGCGGAATTCCGAGCGATATGTCGAGCACGTATCGAACGATACCGAAATTTCGCGCCTACGGAATAGTTCGTCGGCTGTACGCTTGCCCGACGATTCATCAGAATGTCATTCGCGGAATGTAGGTCATAGCAAATGAGTATTTGACGAAGAAGAAAAATAAAACAACAGAATGGTCTGAATTATTAGTCTGATATTTCAATCGAATTGAAGTTAATTTCACACATAAAGATTGAAATTTAATATTCAACTAATTATATTTTTAAAAGAATTATGTATTCAAATAAATGTGAATAAAAAAATATCCGCTTTTGATAGACAAAGACATTAAATTTAAAAATGTAGTTTTTTCCACTTTCGCGCTTCGCAAATATCCCTTCGAAATATGACCAGCAAGTTCGAGGAACGGTCAGAACAATGAAGTCGTTAGAGTACCTGAAATAGAGACGGCGTATTTGGATACAGCTGGAAGCATTTTGTCGAGAAGCTACAACCGAAAGGAGAGAACGCTCTCGCGTGAGCCGCGCACGTCTAAAAAGCGATCTCCAACGACGCGGAGGAAGGTCGCTCGCGATTCCAGTATTTCCAGTATTTCGGGTGTCCCGCGGCGAAGCAGCTTGATCGTCGAATCGAACTACTTCATTAGTGGCGAGCCATAATGACGATAACGCGTCTCGACGCGCAGAAAAGAGACGATCGCCGACAATTAATAAAGAACGGCGGTATCGTGGACTCGCCACCGAAATGCGCCCGAGGCTAGTTAAAAGGACAAAAATATATATCTCGAGCAATGTAATTCAGGAGCAGCAGCGACATGTATGAAGAATACGTGCGTGCAGCGTTATTGATGTAAAAATCTGAATCCCAAAATTTATTATTTTTACACAAATAAATCACGAGCATTTTTTTGTAGCATTATTTCACATTCGCCTCGTTACGTTTTAATTAGTTTTCGATAAAATACGATGTATCGTGGGGCCGCACATATATTTCAGCTTTCCTCTCTCTATTTAAGAACGGGTCCGCCCCACGTTTTCATCCTGTCAAACATTCCCACGCCTAATGCTTAGTAGCGTCTGAGGAAGCGCACGCGGTGTCATTTTAAAACGGGAGCAACGAGATCCTTTCAACCGCTGTTGTCGCCACGACGGGATGCCTCCGACCGCTCTTGTACCGTCGGTGTTTGCGATCCTCTCTCCGCGCCTCACCACGTCTCTTTCCACGGTCTTTCACCGATATTTACTCGCGGGGCCCAGGCCCACCGCCGGGATTGCCCTCGAAGACATCTCGAAGGACCGTGACTCGGCACTGTCTCGGTTTTGTTTGCCACGCCGGGATTTCCCGACAAAGGGCCCGGTGCGTCGTGTCGTCCCATCGCCCGCCCTTCTCCAAGACGCCGGGATTAGACTCGAGAGGATTCCGAGTTGTTTGCGCTAATTTTTGTTTTTGCCTCTCCTCCGCCTTCGTTAGGTGGAATAATCGAGAAGGGGTTGCGAAAATTAAAGTTAAAACCCAATTTTTCAGATTTTCTAAACCCGATAATCTTACACACTCTAATGCCCACCTCCATCAATGTAGATTAATTGTAATCTCGGTTCAACTCACTCTTCATCTTTTTCTAGTTCTAAGAATTAGAAGAATATGAAGAATAAGTTGAACCGAGATTAAAGTTAATCTGCGTTGGTGGAATCGGGCTTGTATACAGAAAAAGAAATAGCGACAGATTCATTGAACCGCTACTTTTTTATTTTCATTTATGAACTGCTCATAATTTGACTGTTAAATTTCTAGCTATTCATTAATTTTTTTAAACCAATTTAATAGTTAAATGCGTTACCATATACGATAATTGTATAATACATTAATATTCGACTTTGGTAAAAAATAGCAATAGTTTTTATGCGACGTTCAACCGATTATTTTCCGAAATTTCGCACTCGCTCAAAGGAAAAGAGACCACATGTCTTTCGGCGGGTCAGTAAATAACCATACTCACGTTTCTTAACAAGTGCGCACCGCATCGTGTGTATATACGAGGTTCGCTTTTATAGACTCGCTTTTGAGGTAGCGTGAAAAAACACATAATCCTTCAAAGGACCCTCCCGATCTTTCGTAAATCTGGAAAGGGTTGGCCCAGGTGAAAAGGACCGTTCTCTATTAGCCGCGGCGAGAAAGGGGTTTCGGGGGATTTTTTCGAGAGGCATTTTCTGGGCTCGTGCACAAACTGGATCTCTCTGCGTGCCGAGATAGACAGTGAGAGAGAACGA